ACAACACCTGGGGTAATTATTAGAGCTTGGACTGAAGAAGAAAACACCCTTGGCGCGACGTCAAGGCGTTTTGGCGCCGCTGACAGCCCGATCACAGCCATTCACACGGGCCATCACACGGGGCGTGTGTGTAAATGAAGGCACCGGAACCGACTCTTGGTGCTTCGTCATAATTCGGGCTGGTCATGTTGGGCTGAAAAGGACTCGCAATGCCAAATGACTCACGGCGAGCGTCTATTCGTTTTGTTTTTTGTTTTTCGAATCGCATAGCGCGGCCGTTTGCAATCGTCGTGCTGAGAGATTCTCATTCTGTTGTTTGAGCATCGTCGTTCTTAGCCGAGGTACCGACGAGCTGCCATATCCCACGTCTGATACGCCAGAATTATATCGAGTCAGAGCTCACGTGGTTGTGCATTTCCACCCAATCAGCACATTCCAAGCAGAGCATTGGCCAACGACCCGCGACGAATTAAAAGGCAATAGCGCATCTCGACAAGTCCATTGGCCTAGATCCCCCAGTAGTCTTATTATACTCCTCTCTCGCCACCCCCATACTATCCATATCTGAGGGGCGAATTGATCGACCTCGACCCTTTCTGATAGCGCGGGGAAAAAAGAGGAGGAGAAACAAAGACAGAACAAGGGGACAAAGCCCTCAAATTGGGTAAGATTTCGCGTTCCGGGCTGTGCTCCTCTTCACGTGCTGCGCCTGGATGGACCAGAGGCAATTAACCCCCAGAGAATCTCAGGAGGAGCGGGAGGCACGGAGCCAAATCCAACGGAACAAAGCATGGAAGGCTAGGTAGGTAAAGCACCAAGCAAAACCACCCCCCTCCCTCATGGCCAGTACAACGTTACGGTCCCTCCCGAAGAGAGCAAGAGGACGTACAGTACAAGACGGAAAGGAAAGGCGCATGTCGGGGTCCGTCCGGGCCAAGGGCACGGATGATCGTGGCCCACCGAGAGAGCCGTAGACCGTGCTTGGAAGGCGGCTCAGACATCAGTCAGATGGACGAGGGAGAAGAGCATGTCTGTACATACATGTAGGAGAGATGCGGCATAATGTGAACCGAGCAGCCGAGCTGCCAAGAGGGAATGAGGCAAAATACACCTCGGGGAAAGAAAAGACGAAAATCATTGACAAGGGCCGACCTCGACCGACGATTTACACACACCCCTCCTCTCCATCTCCGTCTTCCGTTTCTCTCACTTCCGTCTCCGAGATAAACAGGATATCGCAAGCAGTAAACGGCGAGTCAAAGGGAAACGTCGTACGCAGTAGCATTCAGGCGAATATCGGAGAGAGAGAAGACTATCATGAACCCTGCATATGCAGCCCTGACACCCGGCCGATAGGGAGGATCATGGTTGCGCATGCAAGCACACTCTTTTCTCCCACACAACTCACAGCTCTCACACAAGTCTGTTTGAACACGGATCTGTGCCATTCCGAACATACTTGTGTGTCTGCCTTCTTCGTCTCGTTACTCGCTATTACTAGTCCGAAATGCTTCGTAGTGAGATCTGGTCCTGAGGGAGCCCATGTGGTTGCACGCAAAATGAGGTAAGCAATCCCCAAGGAAGTCTGACAGTGTCTGCCATTGCGTATTACTCCGTGGAGTTATCGCTTATCAATTCACCGTCCTTTTGTCAAGCAAGGGCAAGACTAACAAAAAGGCAAGGCAAGTAAAACTCTCAGTGACGAAAGCTCGGAACAAACAGGCGGAGAGCAAAACAGACAATCCATGCACGCAAGCACCTCATTCTCGTCGCCCGTCCGATCCCTCCCGCACCTTGTACAGTATTATTAGTATCTGGCGGCTGCTTTTAATACCTTTACACCGACATTATCAGCTGCAAGAGCTGCCAGAGATAAAAAGATGCCCGCTGTACAACGTGTTCGCCAGCAACGGCTCATGCACTCGGTGTAGCTGCCGCCAGGGATGCATCGCTGCAAGGGAGAAGAGCAGGAAAAGGAAATGAAAGCATGACACGACATCAAGTACATACGTTCACACACCTCGAAACACACAGACTGGGCAAGGGGAAAAACCGGTCAAGCAAAGCGGTGCGGCAGGCTGGCAACGCAGCAGCAACTCAACATCGGTGTGACCTCTTTTTGTGCCCCATTTCGCGTTTTGCAGTTCTTTTCATTCGGCATCCTTCCCTCCCGTCCTTTCCCCGATCGATCGTGGCTCCGAAAAACCGTTGTCTCCCTTTGCATGTAGGTATGGAAAGGTGCAATGTATGTATGTATGTATGTAAAATGTACGTCGTGCAGTTCGACATGCACACACCCTCTGCAAGCTGCAAAAAGCTGTTGCTATCACACATCAGGGCAGCCCTCTCTCTCTCTCTCTCTCTCTCTCTCTCTCTCTCTCCTTGCCGATGTGCGCTTTGCTCAATCGTGCCTTATCTGATAAATGGCGCGCATGGCTGTGCGTGTGTGTGTTTGCTGTCGTTGACGCCCGACATCGCAAAAGATACAGTAAATGGTATTAGAGGGTGGGATGCTCATTAATCTATTTTCCTTTCTTCTTTTTTCCGCCCTTTCATCTGCGGGCCCAAGTCGTCATCACACAAGCTCCAGCTCAAGACACCTACCCAAGCAAGTAAGAAAGTAATAATCGCATATCAAATGTGAACAGTAAGAAAGAAGGGTAATCAAGGTAGTAAACAGGAAGAAGAAAGTTCAAGACCACAGACGCCCTGCATCTGAACAGACCAAGCATTGAATGAACCGTTTGACCGATCACCAACTTGAGGTATGTACTGCCTAAGGTAGTTTCGCATCTCTCAGCCCGCTCTAGAAAGCATCTTTGCAAGCGATCCAACCAACACCGCCCGTTACATTTCTTTCCGCGCACCCTAAAAGCAGGTTTTTTTTTTTGCTTTTTTCCCCCATGTAAAACAAAAAAGAAAGAAACCAGAATTACTACTCAAAAGCAAAACGAGACAACAAAAAGCAGTCACGCACGCACGCACTCACTCACACGCCCCCCCTCAGACAACAAGCACTATCCAGCCCGTCATATGTCTTGTTTTCGCATCTAAGTAGTATCGCATGTAATAGACTTTCCCTGTGCAGCAAAACGGGTACAATACCACCCCGTGGCTTTTTTTTTTCTTTTCGATCCCAGCACAGCGGACAATCTACCACTATCGCAATCACAATCACCACCCAGTTCCTCAACCACCACCACACGCCTCCCCCCCCTTCATGTGACAGTAAACACAGCACGGCGAATAGGATCGTCCACCCGCGATCCCCGGCGAGGACGGCTTTGCCGCCCGCCCGTCCGACCGTCCAGCTTGTAACATCTTGTCCATCCTTGTGCACTCTGTCCCCTCGCATCCGGGCAAATAAAAAGCAAGGCCAGCAACAACAACAACAACAACAGCGCAAAGAAAGAAAAAAGGAAAAAAAGAAAACAAAAAGCCGCCACCGAGTCGCACCGCATGCAATCGGTGAGCAAAAGCACCCTTGCACCGCTGCAGCCTTCAGCCAGCTTCTTGGTTGCTTCCCGTGTGTGGCGCTCAAGATAATACCTAGGTAGATTGAGAGCGCAACGGAAAAGATGTGTTAAATTGACAAAAAAAGGTGGCGTTGCCTTTGCAAGTTAAGTGGTGGTGCTGCGTGTGTGGCAGAAGCGAACAAAAGGGTCACCGCTTCTTTTCTTTTCTTTTGTTTGTTAATGCATGATACCATACTAAGTACCTTACCCACCACTTGTAGGAAGAGCTGAACATGGCTGGCGGGCGCGGTGGCAGCAAGCCCTTTCTCTATTGCCGGACGTCGGCGAATGAGATCGGGATGCATGTGTCGCTGAGGCTGCCAACGCAAGCCATGGCGCACCTTTTACAGCGGATAAAACACATGGCAGAGAATAGCAACACTAAAAAGGACAAAGCAAAGCAAAAAAGCCACCTCAACTAGGTAGTACCTCGTCAGTAGGTAGGTAGCAAAGGGCAAAGATCACAGAGGATGATGAAGCGAATGTCTTTGTGAAGAGTTGTAGAAGAAAAAAATGGTATTGGTAGTAAGGGGGTATCTTGCAAAGAAAGCTATCTAAACACTATGCTAATAATTCCTGGTATGTAAATGCCTGTTGCCAGTCCGCTTCGTAGCGGAGGCCTGTGTCCCAACGCCTAAAGCAGTGGTTGTATCTAAAGTGAGGTGTTCCCAGAATAAAACACACAAAAGTCCATGTCGCTCTTCCTATTCTTCGGAAGAGGGTATCCTAAAAAGTTCCAAATGCCCGCTATGAATTGATCGCTAAACCCAAAACAAATGAACTCCGATAACTATGCCGTCGTAAAAAAGAAAAGAGGAATTAGATAGAAGTAGAAGAGAAGAGACGAGAAAGGAAATGGAAGAAAAGGCTGTCGTAGAGACGATAACCCCTTGGCCAAAGGAGGGGTTGCTGGAGGCGTCCAAGTAAGGAAAAAAAAGCTCCGGGTATCGAGTGAAAGGAAAATAGAATAAGCCGTGGTAAGGCTGGTCCCGTTTTAGCCGATCTAGCTGCCATGTGTGTGGCAGAAGTCGGCTGAAGTTGGTGGAAGAAGAGAAGAAGAAGAGGGAAATGCCTCGGCGATGGATTAGGGAGGGATGAGTCAGATGCAAGCCGGACTGTGTCGCTCCCGTTCGGCATCCCGATTTTGCCCATGTTTTTTGCGCCGCGGATCAATCCTATTGATAGCGCGCTTGGAGCGGTGGCTGTGTTTAGACCACATGTGGCCCGGGTCTCGGTCGTAAGAAGAAAAAAAGTGGAAGAATTGTAGTGGTAAACAGAAGAAGAATGAGAAACAAGTTCGTAAAGTCGTACACCGGTTTGGTGTGTGTGCGTTGTTGTTGCGCAGTATTAGTGGTTATTTTCGTATGAAGCCGGGTAGAAGTAGTTGTTGTAAGAGAGACGGAGAGAGAGAGCCCTGTTCTGCGTCCAGCGCATGACCCAAAAGGAGTAACAAAACAGACAAAAAGAAGAAGCTGTTTGCTTGATTTACTCGGAGATGGGAGTCATGGAGGCAAGCTTGGACTTGGGGCTCTTCTTGGAGCCGGGCGCGGAGCGGCTCTTCTTCTTGGCGGCCTGCTTGCGGCGCTCCTTCTCGAGCATGATCTGGCGCATGCACTCGCGCTGCAGGGCCAGCTTCTCGCGCTGCATCTCCAGGACCTCGGCGTCGGTCAGGCGCGGGGGTGACTGCATCATGATGGGCGAGGACGAGGCGCTGGAGCTGGCGATGCTGTGGCTGTCGTCGTCAAAGGGGTCCGACAGCAGGAGGTCGTCGTCGGAGAGGAACGAGGTGGCGCGCTCCTCGCGGTCGAACTCGGAGAGCGACTCCCGCCTGGGCCACGAGGGAAAGGCGCACGAGGCATCGCGGGAGTTGCGCAGGTTGGAGGGGCTGATGTCGATGGCGGCCGACATGGCGCTCATGGAGCTGTATGAGCTGTATGAGCCGTACATTGTGTGTGTGGATGTGTGTGTGAGAGTTGTGAGAGAGTTTGGTGTTGTTGATGATGTGCAAAGGAGATCTGCCGTTTTCTTGTACAGAAATCCGGGGTCGAAGATGGGCTTTATCTATAGATAGAAAACCCGCGTCGACAACAATGGTGGAGTTTGCTCGGCTTCCAGGAGCTATTGATTGTATTGATCGAGTGTGTGTGTGTGTGCTTTCGGGCGAATCCGTGGGGTGGTGTGGATGCAACGATGATTATCCGGCCGAGCAAGCTTTGGGAGGATGGAAATGGAGGATTTCAGATGGTAAGCGTCGTCTTGGTTGTTGTGATGATGATGACTGCTGATGATGATGTGTAGTAGCAGGTGGATAGATGAGAGATGAGACGAAAGATGCTTGGTGATGACAGGCAACGCAGACCGGAGAACTGAGGGAAGCCTGGAGGGAGCAGAGGCACTTATATCGACGCATCACGGGCGGCACATGTGTGAATCACTTGGGAGAGAGCCGCTCGGCGCTGGGGCAGAAGGGGGGGGGGGCAGAGAGATGGGGGATTCCAAGGGGGGGGGGGGGTCGGTCAGAAGGGGAGGGGGGTGTGGCACAAGGGAGTCAGGCCCATTGTCATTGCGCTGCCAGAGTTTCTGCTGGGGTTTTATCAGAAGGGCAAAGAGGTTGCAGCAGGGCCTGTCTCCGCCCACGCCCCCTCCCCTGTCGCAGCATCTGGCCGGGGTCTGAGCAGACGATTGAGCGAGTCGAGGGAGAGAGATTCCGCACACCCCACGCCAGCCCGGCAGACGCCACGCCGCTGGGGGGACAGAGAGAGAGAGAGCGCCAGCCCAGCCCTACTGGACTACTAGTAATAACGGAGAGCTGTGGCTCCGTATTGTTGTCTGGTGCTCATTGCTCGGACAGGCAAGCCAGCTGCAAGCCAAAACGGTATGATGAGCGTGAGCCGTCCAGCACATCCCATACATACGTATGTACCTTACTTTACGAGGCACCGTCACACGCTGGCGCACGCTTCGAGTGACACACAAATGGCGGTGTTCAACTCTCGCTGCCTTTCTGACCGCCACGCCCGGCGGTCTGATTGGGCCATGGGCAAGCAGCCAGAGCGAGAGCGGCGGCGTGCTGCAGTCGCGTTCAATTTATTTTTTCCCAATATACGATGCAGCTGGCTTAATTGCTACGGCAAAGTATAGAGATACTAGATAGATTGCTGGCTGTGTGTGTGTGTGCTTGCAGAGTGTGTGGAAGCAATGATACGGGTGCGGTCATGTTTGCGCCCGTATCAGTGCGGCGTATTCCTTTTTCTGTCTCTCCCTTTGCCGTTTCCCTTTGTGCCCATCGTCTACACCGTAAGGTAGTATCGTGTTCCATTCATTCAGCTCGTTCATTCAACCTGTGCCATTCACCAGTGTCACGGAACACGTACCCCCAGCACCAAAAGAGCCCACCAACAGCAAGCCAAAACGCCAGCAAACGGCAACAAAGAAAAAAAACGACGACAACACAAAAAGCAACAAACCGCGGGCGGCAACAAGCTCCAAAGAAAGAAAGCGAAACCAACCGTTTCAAGACACGGTCCGGGGAAGAAGAAGCGCCGCCGTCTTTTTCATGCTGCTCCTACTACTAGTAGTAGCTTCTGGGAGGACCGAGCGCCGTAGTATAACAGCCAAGTCAGACGCCCTGGCGAAGGAGACAAGAGGAAACAACAAAAACGCCAAAAAGCCACTCGCACAAACAAACCCGTCGACGGTGCCGACGGGGGCTCGGACGGGGCGTGCCCTAGCGGCTGGCTGTCATTCATCATCCAGCCCTTCAATGTCAAGCCCTCTCTCTCAAATTAGATGCTGTACGTATTACTACTAGTAGTACCTCCAGCCTCTTTGCGCAGCTTCATCTTGTCAACCCGTCGCGCTGGCTGGCAGGTTGCATCGCGACTAGCATCGCAAAAAAAAGAAAAAAGGAAAAAAAATTCTCCCTGGCCCAAACCAGAAACCCATGCTCGCCTCTTTTTTTCCAAATCTCCCACCCCATGCCAACAAGTGGCTTCGCTGGCCCCCCCCTCTCCCTTGTCGCAACCGAACAGCTCTCTCTCTCTCTCTCCCTCACCCCCGGTAGTATTACGCAAACCCGCCGTTGGGCATCGGGGCACACCGCCCCAGCTTTCCGGTCAAGTCAGCCAGCAAGGGAGAGGGAGTTGATCTCGCTGTTCACTGTCGCTTTGTCGCAAGGGGGGTCCCCCCCTTCGAGTCGCCAGGCTGGTCGAACGGATGGGCTTCCCCGGCATTCCGTTTTGCTGGATCGGCCGCCCTGCTTTCGCGATGCCTTGTCTCGGTCTGGTCTGGGGGGAATCGGAATCGAGCAAGTCGATGCCTCTTTGTCTCTCCTCGCTGGTTGTGCCCTTTGGAAGGGAGGATCGCAATCTGATAGATCGCAAATAGTGCCCTCTGGGAGAGGCGCCACCGTCGGCGGGAAGAGCCCGCCCGCCCGTTCAAACGGGACTATCACTCACTATCATCCGCCCTTCTTCGAGTGGACTCGAGACAAACGGCAGCTCGCCTAGCACTGGTGTGTGCCAACAGCCTGCCTAGGTAAGTAGGTAGGTAGGTAGCAAGCACAAGCGCAAGCAAACAGCAGCAAGGAGAAAGGCAAACCGGGCTCTCAAGGGATTTGACTTTGGGGGTCATACGCGTAGCGCTTATGAGCCATGGAAGCAACCAGCAGAGGGATGCGATGCGATGCCGCGGATAAGAAACGGGCAAGAGGCCAAAAACCGAAGAGAAACTTGGAGGCAGATGCCCGAAACGGACAGGTCGGGTTCCCGTTACAGAAGGAGATGAGAAGCCTCTACCCGCCTTGTTCACATGTCCCCCAGCACATGTACAGTAAGATGAGATGGGAGCGAAAACGGGCCGCGACGGAGAATAACCGTGGGCTCGATACGGAGTAACACGCGCGGGATGGGCATCAGCAGGCTAAACGGAGCTGGAGGGCAGTACCATTACGAGTACAAACGCGTGCTCCAGCCCCAGGCAGTGAGTGGTTGGACCAGAGGCGCCGACTGAGCTTGACCGGTGACTGGGCGATGGGGGGGGCCCGGGGAAGTATTGGAACACGCACGCACCACTCTGGGGAGGACGAACACGAAGTCTCAGAGCGAGCGCCGGGGGTGGACGGTCCATGTATCAGGCCGACACTCCCCCCAGAGCCAAAGGGCTGGGCGAAGCAAGCAAACCCCCCCAAAACTGTAGCCCAACGGCCACGACAACGTCTGGTCTGACCCCGGGTCCTGGCTTCTCCGGCGGCCACGCAGAGCGAGCAGCGCACAGCCAGAGCCCGAGCGAGCCAAGGCAGTCTCTTTCCCCCCCGTTCCCCCATGCTTCGTCCATGTATGTACATGTATGTACCATGACCGCGATACGGAGACGAATCCTGCCGCCTCCTCCCTCCGGCAGGTCGCCAACGTCGCCAGCTCGAGGCATTCCCATCGCTTGTCCGCCAGTCATGCCGCACCCTCTGCTGTGGCTGCCCGCCCACCAAGCCGCAGTCTGCGCTCTGCGATTGGGTGCAGCAACCGTCCAGGCGGTCAAGGTCCCTGTGTCGCAGCCTGACGGCGACCCTCATGATGCCATGATGCCATTGATAAGGCATTGACTCGGAATGATGCCGGGTACTGCGGTGCTACCTGGGCGACACAACCACGCCTCGTCGCCAGCACACGTACCCGTAACTTTGCGACGGGGCTCCGCGCTGCCGCAGCAGCCGCACCGAAATGAAGGCGGACTGAGGGCTTTGTCCAGGTAGAGTGTACATGGCGTCCACGTAAAAGGGTGCTTGTACAGACGAGGTACCGCATGCGCGTCCATGACAACTTTCTCGCTCGCTTTTTCTGCCCACCCAACCTTGTATTTTTGTTTTCTCATGTCGCTGCTGGCGCCTGGACAGCTCACCGTGCTGCGAGGGGAAAGGACCCGACAAGAAGAAACGCCAGCTGGCCGTTTCCCCTCATGAGTCAAGTCCCCCCATCAATGGGCTTCGTGCACCGCCATTTGCTGCCCGCCCCTCAGTTGATGTGCTGGTTCTTTCTTCTGTTCTGTGCCCAGGCAGACTGACTGACTGGCCCTCGTCCGACTGGCCCTCGTCCCGTTGGCCTTGGGCTGGGGAGGAGGGGGAAGAGGAAGAAGCGAACGAAGAGGAGACGGAAACGGCGGGCTGCTATTCCTGGACCTGGAGAAAGAGGGCCATCTCTCTCTCGCGCGCAGGGCACACGCCATGTTCGAGTTGCCATGCCATGGATGGGCTGTGCGATGACGAGCACCGACCGACTCGAGGGTCAGACGCCCCCCCCCCTCCGATGAGATATGGAGAGAATGTACGATAAGTCGTATGGAGAGACAGCCTGACGTCGGCGATGCGAGCGTGGCCGTCTGCCTGCCCTTGTTGCTTGCTGGTACGCGCAGTTGCCCATACACGGCATCCATTCTACCAACACCACAGTTTGTAGATAGTTTGTAGTATGTATTCTTACACATTCCCCTAACGGAGTCGTCACACATTGAGGATCCCCCGGGGGCATGAGGCTGCGCTTACGGAGTACGACTTTCCCTTTTTTTTTTTCCCTCGGCTTCATAATCCTCGCAAGGCTGCGGCGGTGGTGGCATCGTATTACTCCTCGTGCCTCGCCACGAGTGCGACGATGCCACGCCGGCGCAGCACGTTATCTATCAGACTACCTTACCTTACCACACCTTGCCTTACCACCATCTCTGCCTCCGATACCGATGCCTCTACCTCTACCTCTACCTCTACCTCTACCTTACATATCGGGCTTGAATGCTCTTCCACTCGGCACGCAAGCTTCTGCAGTTCGGGGGGGGGGGGGGGGGGGGGGGGGGGGGGGGTCATTAATCGGGCATCCCGGCATGGCGGGACCCTGTGGCTACGTAGCATGGCTGCATAATCAAAAAATAAACCCACAGGCAGCAGCACATCAATATCCAAGTGGACATCTTGTCGATGCAGTTCATTTTTTTTTTTTTTTTTCCTTTTTGCACACGTGCTACCCTGATGTCTGGAGGACGAGATGCCAAATTGTGGGATCTTGCTGCCCACCACCCATCCAGCTCACCCACAAAGGCTGCAGTAGTAGTAGTGTACTAGTAGTAATGCTATCACCAAGTATCCGCAGCTGTTGAGTGGTGTTGTCATTACATACCTTACGGTCTTTTACCATCCACACGGTCAGCGTACTATCAATGCACGTCCGCCCAGGGAATCTCATGCGGCCTTCTTTGTTCTAGACTAGAGCATGCCTGCCTGCCGTCGGGCTGATATGTATGTGCATTC